GCTGAAATTAGCATGAATTACAAGGTTCATAACACAGAATATCAGTTTCAGCTGTGTTCCAGCCCTCAAGCACAGTCCAGAAAGCAGAAAAGGAGTTCCAAGATAGTGATAAATGGAAGACATGGAAAGAAAGATATGTACTTTCAAGATACTGTACGATGATTAGGGGATTAAAGAAATTGTTAAAATACAGAGCCATGTATCAGAGCCAGGATAACAAAAGAGTCTGCATGATGAAATGACCTGTTAAGTATCTCTGCCATACAGATGCCGCAAATGCATTACCAGAAGACAGTCTTCTTGAAGATAGTTCATAGTCTCTTTAGGTTCCAGTTTCTACCAGTTCAACAGGAGAAAGTTCAGTTCCCCAGCCCTAAGTTACCTCCTGCCTGCTCTGCTGTCCCCCAGCAGAGTTCTCCTTGCAGACCCACATGCCAGTTGATGTGGGTAGTGCACAAGTAGATTCTCCCACGACCTCCATGTCGCAGAATTTCCAGCGAGGCAGACCCAGCTGTATTTGCAGCTAATGCTTGCAATATAACTAGACAAGACATCTTATTTTCAATAGAAGAAAATATAGAATTTCAACTAATATAGTGGCATTCTTTCACCCAAAGCCTGTCTACATTTGAAAATGTCATGTATTTTCCCAGGTGACAGTGAATGATAACCTGAGTCCCTAGGATGATAATTACGGCTTAACTGTTTAACTGAATTCATGAGTGGCATAAAATATTTTAAAACTTATTCTCTGTGTTTTTTTTTTTTTTTTTTTTTTTTTTTTTAATCAATTGGAATCTTATCCTATAATCATAATTTAAAGGATGGAATATACAGAGGAGATTTTGATGTAAGTGAAGAAGTCTTTTCAAGATATCTCCTTAAAATGTAGTCTGTATCACAAACTTTATTTTATTGTGTTTTGATCTCATATTTGTGCATCAGATCCAACTTTGATTGGTAATGGTAGGTTTCATGAAGTCATATATTAAGTAGCATAGAAATACTTACGCTACAAATGCCTTTCCTTTTCATATGTTAATTTTTCAGTCTGAATATCCTCATTGTCCCTGCCTAATAAATTGTGTTCTTTGTAAGCATGCTTTGCTTGTGGTTCTATGCTTTAGACATTTCCTTTCTCCTTATTTACTCTATTACTCTACTTAAGATGAATGTCAGGCATATGTATTCAATATAGTATAGGCTCTCTTAGTTGTTTGGACTTTCCCATGTCTTTTCAAAAATGTTTGTGACTACATTGAAATTATCTTTTTGTCTTCTAACACCCAGGGATAAATGAAATTAAGCCAACAAATGGGTAGCCAAGTTTCTTCCAATTTCTATATCAGTCCTTTATAAATAGCTACTCAGAAGGCTGTTTTAACTTCATAATCATGATTACTTCTTGCTGAAACGAGGCCTTCAGTCTCTGCCATTTCACAGTTGCTAATTTCATCGGTTTCCTTCTCTTAGTGATTCAGCTTTCTCTTTTGCATTTTTATTACCTGTGTAATAAAAGATGCCCTCTTTCCCCAGGTTCTCTGGCTCTTATGTAAGCCTCTGACTTACTCTGCCTTAGTGAAGCATTTATTTTTTCTCACTGCCTTCCTTTTTGTCATTTGTAGTTCAGATTTATTTTCAGTAGGCGCATTTTAAGTCATACTGAACTTTTCTCACACTTCAACAGAAAAACTGCATTCTGTTGAAAATTAAGTATTATAACTGCATTTCCCACCATGTCTAGACTACGTTACTGGCTACTTTTTGCCTTGGAATATTCCCAGGTTTTAATTCTTGGTTATTTAAAAAAAAAATAAATTGTTACACTTAGGAATTTTATGAACTCAGTCCTGACATGGAAAAAAATAATCACTGACACTGCATTCAGCATAGTTATTTAGGTCTATGTGATCATTATTATATCATCTAATATTCAGGTCCCTAAATACTTACGTTGTCCTTAATTTCCTTTATGTGAGTCAATATTTTTTGCCTAGGTTCTTCAGGGAAACAAGTTGAGACTGTAGAGTTTGGATTGAAATATCTTATGATACCAAGAAGTTACGAAAATTTTTATTATCTTGTACTTCTTATACAAGAGGGGTTAGAGTGTGACATCTAGGGAACTGCAACTCCTGGACAATGCTTAAGGGTCAGGATCAAAGCTGCTCATATAGCTTTAAGGGCACTTTCTCTGACTACCTCAATTACAAAAATATTTTCAAATTATCTGATGATGTTCAAATGCTTTTGAAATGGAATATCATCCAGATATCCGTCTGCTGGCAAGATGAGTTAATATAGTAAGTACTACGAACACTACAGGGCAGCTAAAAAATTGGTCTCTCTGAAGATGAAATAGTACCGGCATACAGCCAGACTCAACAGAGAAGGCAGTAAGAAGAAATCAAAGCTCTTACAGTTCAATGATTGCAACTAGAGTGCGCCTTTCTGATTAACACGGAGACCTTGCTTTAAAGCTTTGCAAGCATTTCTTCTGCTCAGAGTTTTAGAAGACCTGGACACAAATGCAGCAAGTGCTGTCTACCCACTTTTCAAAACTGGGCGACTACATATAGAGGTGCTATGCTATAGGGCTGTCCTCTACCACTCAACCTCAGCCTGGCAAAGATCTCCTGCCTCTGGACTGGGGATACCTGCTCAGGGTCAGTTCCTTTTAGTTTAGTCCCTCCTGGCTTACTCGCAAGTGGCCCATCTGTAACCAAAGTCTGGCTTTCCAGTGAAGTAAGGCAGAAATGTGGAACCCACCTGTGGCCTTCACCTGGCCTCTGCACAGCACCAGTTTCCCTGTTTGGCTGTTCTGCAGAACCTCCTTCCACCAGAGGGCAGATGGCAAATAGAGTGTGATAACCTGGCCTGGCTCAAGATGAGATAGCACATAATTTGATGCCAATTCTTCTGGTTTTAATATCCTCCCTAACCAGATGCAAGCCCCTTTAGACACCTCCAATGGCTTCGAATGCTTCCCACAATAAAGTGAGGGCAGTGTTGTTTCCCAATTCCCCGCAAGATCCATCCTCATGCTTACACAGTCCAATTAGTTAATGATATTCCTGAGTTATCAAAAGACTAAGCTTTAAAAATCCACTAATGCATCAGAAATATGAATTTGCAAAGAGTGTATCCCTGAGTTCCATTCCATTCTTTGCAGATCTCACACATTTTTCGTAGCCTAAGGTGGGATGAGCAGAGGAAGGTAGCAGCTACTTACAGAGTGGTCAGCACTGCATCTCCTCACTTTGTGGATGGTATGGAGCCTCTTCAGCATCTAGACACAGAGCCTATGGTGAAAACTAGTGTAGGATCATAAGTAAAGATAAGTGACATCTGCTCCCTACTGTAGTAGTACGTGCACATAGGGAATGAAGAAAAAATACATGTGCTAAATACTTGTCCTGGCTTTCCTCATGATAAAAGAAGGTGTAGGAGGAAATCAGTTCCCAGATGTGGGATCCATCTGCGCTAGTGTATCTCATGCTCCCTGTTGTGATGTGTTTTTATTACAAGTTTCAGATAATCACCTAAGACAGAAATAAGAGTTCAGTGTTTTTAAACAGAGAGAAGTAGCAGCTCGAACCATCCCATAGTGACTAACCTCAGTTTAGTTGTGTTTCTTGCCTTTTGTCTTTTTTTCTCTTTCATAGTTTCTTTCACTTTCTCTTATGTATACCGTTAGTTGATCTGGGGAGAGAGATTTGCTCCTCTAACTTGTGTTGAGGCTGAATTCAGCCAAAGTCAGTGAGGTCTCTAAGGCACTAACATTAATGCTTCCTGTGGAAATAAATGGGACTTCAGGGGAGCTGGAGCTTGATGATGCTTGCAATTGAAATTTTAATTCAATGTTTTCCTGTTTAATGTTGTAAACAGTCATATTGCATAAACAAACCAAGTGAGACATTGCCACAATACAAGCCTAGGCAATGAGAACACAAATCTATGACTTTCAACCTCATCAGATGCTCACAGAAGTCATTTTCCATGATATACCAGACATTCAGACTTTCTCCTTCAGCCAGACGAAGCCACCTGCTGTATTCATCTCCCACAATAAATAGCAAAACATTACTTATTATCTCTTTCTCTTCCTCCAGAGATGCCACTAATGTCAAAGCTGAATGCTTATAGTTATTTCCAAAGTTTTAATTAAGACTGCTTCAGACTGAGTGGGGGATGTTCTCTTGGAGCTAAAGGCATTTTGCCACTTGTTACCTTCTTTTCAGGGTTTGTCTGGGAACTTCACATTTATATACCCTTGATCCTTCACTTGTAACTACAGGCTGAGGACAGATGGGATATGGAAAGAGTAGGGGGATAAAATAAGAAAAGGACTGCATGCTCTAAGGCATGCAGGAGAATGCCTGCACTAGTATGGAAGTGAGTTCCTCTCAGTCAACAGAGCTATAAACAGCAGAAACCTCTGTCTTTTCTGGAAACCCCTAGTGGTGCCCTAAAGAAGGCACAATTTATGCAATGGCTGGCTGCTGGCATGGCAGCAAGGTCTGTGCTTTTCTTTCCTGCCAGCATGCCTTCACTTTTCCATAACACACAAAGCTATGGAGACATTTTGGTGCCTACCATAGTTCTTCCATCTACTTTGTACACTGAACAATGATGATAAAGCTAAGTGCCTGAATACTAAGTGAGATTTATCCGTTCCTTTGTTGAATGCAGCTTGGAACTTGTGGAAAACCCTTTAAGTTACATAATTAAAGACTGTACTGTAATACTTAAGAGAACTGCTTTTGGGTCACACGGGTAATCTTAATTCTGGTAATTCTTAATGTTTAAAAGCTTGATCTTGCAACCAGAGTGATCTTCCTTTAACACTATTTCATATATATATGAAATATATATATATATATATTATTTTTTTTTGTGGGCAGGTGAATTGAAAAGCAACTGTGCTGATAGCTCCTTGTTTCCTAAAGCTGAAATGCCAACTAACTTTTTTCTTCTTCCTTCCCAACATCTCTGCATAGGAGTGTCATGGAAGTGCTGTAATAAGGACTGCTGGAGAAGCAGAAGAGAGTACTTCTGAGACGAGGCAGCTCCACATCCAGGTGCAGAGTCCCTTCATGTATTTGGGCTGGGAACATGCTTTCTCATTCATGGTGTAGTCAGAGAGACCCTTTTATCTACAGGGACTGGAAATAACGAACTCTGTTCTACCAGGTTAAAACAAAATCCAGCTTCCTTTACTGGGGGGGAGGGGGAATTATTGCAAGAAAATGTGCAGAAAAAAAACAACAACACATCTATTTCAACACAGTCTTGTGGTGGTCTTACCCTGCAGGGCAGCTAAACTCTACCACAGTTGCCGTCTCACTCCTCCTCCTCAAAGGAAAAGGGGGACACGTGACAAGTGATCTCCATGTCCTTATCTCAACCCCTGAACCCTTTCCCCAGAACTTCTGCTCAGTTACTGTACAGCTGTTACTGTACAGCTGGGAGAACTCAGTAAGTTCCCCAGTTCCCCAGTATATAGTGGAATGTGAAAACAAGTAATTTCCTCTGTTAATCTCACCTGAGATGCTTTATCTGGTCAGTATATTTATATGTGTGGGCTCTGGATACAGTGAAAGGCAAGTGATGTTGGTTTCACCCTTCTGCAGTAGCTCAGTAGAATATTCAGTCAGGACACAGATGCTGACCTTTCAGTTATTTCCTTCCTGTGAGTACTAAAACCCCTATTTCTCACTCTTTGGAAGAACACTCTCACCCCTCATAACTCAACCATGTGTTGAACAGCTGGTAGAATGTTCTTGTGCCTTCCCATTGAAACTGTTCTACTCTACATGTTGTAATAAAGGATCAGCTGAGATGAGAAAGATCACAAGAGAACATTACTCTTCAGTGGTTAAGACCTTGAGGGTAGAGGTGGGAGGGAGGTGGAATAGCTGCAACACAGCTTGTGTGTGCTGTCATTTTGCACAGTTCCTCTACTCAAAAGCTTATTATAGAGTCTACCATCTTGCATCTTCTCTGTTTCTTATTTATTACATCTTAATTCTTCCCAAAGTCTTAAACCACCTCAGTTTCCATATGTACATCTTTTCTGCTTCCTCTAATCTGGCTTTTGTCTATCTGCTGCCAAAAGCATTTTATATAAACTTGAGCCAGGCTTCCTAGCTATAAAAGTGATTTACAAGAACATATTAATATATTGTTCTTCTAATTTAAAATAAGTGAACTTTATGGAAAAAAAAAAAGCAATAAAAGTGGTGATGCAAGTGAGACTGTGAAAGCATCTGGCCAGTGAAATTCCTTTCTGGGAGGTTCCCTTCCTTCCCAAACTAGTACATGGAGCAGTTCACACATCACGCTGTTGCACGTTTCCTCTGTAACTAAAATTGCCTCATTATGTAAGGGAAATTGCTCTGTGTGCTTGTGTGTGGTTCTGTGTGGCAGTCTTGAGGAGAGATGTAAGCTGAGGAGAAGCCCAAATTAGAACACATTTAAAAATGAAAAATAAACCTAACTGCTTAATTCCAAGTAACGTTAAGAGGAAAGTTTGCAAGTCACTGCTATCTGCGGCTTCTTTGCAGCTTATGGCCTTTTCTAGCAGGTACCTATATAAAGTGATTAAAATGCAGTCTCTTAATTTGTGTGAGATTTAAACAGCATGCAATCTTCTCTGGCAGTTTAATATGTGTGAAACAATCTGCCATTCCAATCCCTGGAATTTCATGCTACAGATACATAAATCTATCCCCTTCCCTGTGTTCTTCTAAGAAGAACATCAGACAACACCCTGTACATGCTTGCCTTTGAAAAGACAGAATGGTAAAACTGGTTTCATGGAGTTCCTGTCTGAGAGAATACCATTCTTCAGACATCCTGGATATTAAATGTTTCTGCTTGTTCCCTAGAAAATTAAGTAGTAAAACAAGCTTGTGTGTATGTGAAACCAGTTATAGAAGGCTTCCAGCTGAAAGTGAGTTGTCTGCTTATGCACAGTCTTGAAAATGTAATTTTTTCACATAAAGAAGTATTCTCTGTTTTTAACATGGGAGCCTATTGGAAAAGTATAGCAACTGTTTGGGAGGATGTGGACCGCAGTGTCTACAACAGCTGAACAGCTGCAGCTCACTTCCTTTACTGGTTCAGAAAGGTGACTGACTTAAAAGCAAGTTCAGCTCTTGCAAACAGCACTGAGAATCCTTTGAGCTCAAAGGGAATTTTTGATACTTCTGATATCCAAAGAATGCAGTGTTTCTGATAAGAGCTACACATCATGTTTAAATTCTAAACATTTTATGAGTTCTGGCCCCTGTTTGAAAATAGGGTACTGTAGACAAACTGTGAAGTGACAGCTGAAATGTTCAGCCTCTTGGTATAGATTTAAAAGCCTGTACTTAGTATTTGTGTTTGAAAATTTTGGCTGATACTTTTAGTCTCTACAGATACCTCTCCTCACAACAAGCCATTAGATACTAACTCCAACCTACCCTGAATATTTATGGTTTATCAAAATTAGGACTTATATAGAAACTATGCATTCCTTTATATTTAGGGCTCTCTAAGCAAGCAAGTTTTCCTGCGGTAATGCTTATTATCAGTGGAAGCATACAAAATTTTGTTTGCTGAAACCATAAAAGATAGCCTGATATCCCTTTCATTGATTTGCAGGAAACACAAGGCATGGGCTTCAGGAAATAGCTGCTGACAAGGATGAGATGTACCACATAGGCTCATGTGATACAGAAGAGGTTGTGGAGGAAGTTAAATTGTTTTTCAATCCTCATTTTCTTACTGGTTGTGTTCAAGTGGATATTAATTACACAACATGGGATCCCTGGAAGTAGAAGCACAAGTTTCCTTACTTGAGATAAGGCTAGCACAGATTTTAAATGGAGGCAAATCAGTCTTCTGTGTGGTTTGAACTACAGTTAGGAAAATAAAAAGCTTAGAAAAAGCTATGTTGTGGTATAGAAATATGTAATACAGACAGCTTTACTGCTGCTCTAACATTGCCTGTGTTAGAAAATAGGTGCATTGAGTTACTTACTTAGAGATATCATCTAAGTGAAGATGTAGTTGCTTGAAGTTTCCAAACAAGTTAGCAGATTTAGAACGAGGAAAAAGTTGTCCACAGCTAAAATGGGTTTATTTTGTTGAGGAAGGTATCCGAGCATTATATGATTTATGATATATGGTAGTTAATTTAATGACAGCTAGGTAACACTGCTGTTTTTCTAGGTGTATGACTTTGGTCAATTTGCAACCACAATCAGTTTTTCAGTTGAAATGGATGTATCTAGAATTCATTTAATCCTCAGTGAGTGAGGTCAATCATATGAAAGATTTTATTTTTTACTGTACAGTAGTTCAGCATGATGGTTGGTAGAAGAACTTTTAAGTACACCTTTGATAAAATAATACTTTAATAGTTGGCATAGTATTGTCAAGACATGAAGCAGCATGCTGCTTTCCCGATGTATCAACACTGCAGAAGCTTTATGCTCTAGTGAACTTCAATTTGTAGAAAAGATTGTTGGGGTGAGATTTTCCTAACAAACAGCACATAGCAGTAAGAAAAAAGTGAGGAAATTCTGTTAACATAAGATTTGCATTAAAGAAAAGATGGCAAATGGAGAATATGGCGAAAAGGAACTTGGCTTCTTTCCATGACAGTCTATGGGTTTCACTGTCCTGGAGCTGTGCAACTGGTTTTGTGTGCATGGGGCAGATGGGATATGACAGGCTTAATCTTGTTTTTCTTGTTGTTGGTGACTCACCTGAGCTTTAGTACATGTGATTTGAAGCTCAGTGATTAAACAGCAAGGACTGAAAGGGCATAAGGAATGACATTTCCTGTAAGTCAGAGGGAGTGCTGTTTCCATCATGGTTTGGTATATAGCTGGGCGCCCGAGCAAACCAGGCCTTCTGATTTGGTATTTTCTGCAAGCATGTGTGTTTTCTGAGAACCTTTTTTAGACTATATCATACTTTGTAGGAAAGAAACGGTTTGTGGAGAACCAAAGAGAGCCCATTAAACTAGCTAACCTTTAATGACTCATAAGAATGGTTTCTGTCCTGCCCTGATTTACTGCAAAATCAGAGACAATCAAGCTGGCTTTCAGTCGAATTACTAATGCCAGGCATACACAACAACATTAAGATTGGGTTGCAGTGACTTCTTTCTAGCTTGGAACATTTTCATTTCTTGCTTGAACTGCAACTTTTGGGACAGCATTTTCTCATCTTCATCTTTCCTCCTGTGGAAAGCTGATTGGAAAGAGACTTTTGCGTGATTCTCTTACAGGATAGACCGGGTGCGGTCAACACAAGCAGAAGTAGTGTTTGGCAAAAGTAAAATTCAACAAATCTTCTAAACTTGGCTCATTTTAGATTATGGATTTGCCAGATCTTCAGCTTTTTTTTTTTTTTTTTTCCCCCTAACAAATTTCTGTTGTTTGGGATGTTTAGTTTGAGGGCCTCATCACACTGTATTTTTACGGGCATTTGTGTCTGGGTTCTTTGGGCTGTACTCAAGTACCCTGGCACTTGCTAGTTCATTCAAGTGTATAGGGCTCTGCATCTTTGACTTTCTCCATTGCTTAGATCATCCAGATCCAGTTTTCCTCTCTAAATACAAATAACTATTTTACTTTTATCTCACTGTCAGCTTTTCACATATTTTCCATTTCTTGTCATGGAAAATTGCTCTAAGAAGGTCTTAGAATTACAATGTAATTATTGCAGTTCTTTTGGGAAGCTGAAAAAGAAGGGTTTTATTGGAAAAAAAATTATTTATTTATTTATTTATTTGTCTTTATTGTTACAATCTTTTCCCTGAGTTATTCCTGAGGTCTTCAAACACAAGTTGAATTGTTGTGTGTTTTTTTTTTTTCTCTCCTTCTGTGCTGGAATACGCCCTTATTGTAGATCCGTTTAACTCAAAGAACAGATATGGTAGTTACTTGAATCCCTCCTCAATTCCTCCTTGTTTTAAACAAAATTATGGCACCTCTTGGTAAGCATATCAGTGGCTGCATTTTGTTGGAGGACCTTGGTGAGATTTAAAGTGAGCTGGCTTGACTGGTTGCTTTTCTTTGCA